AATTGTGATTTAAATCAGGAACTACTAGGTCAAAGAATGAGACAACAAGATTAATCTGACCTTTGATGACATTTAAAGTCAGCTTTTAGTAAAGATTTTGGTATTCAGTGCTACACATGTATTTCAGTCAATATACCCAGCCGCACTGGTGGCTAGTGATTGCTAGCACAATGTTAACTGTATGAGAAATGATACTACAGTCATACAATTATAGCAGCCGCTGGGGAATACAGTAACTGGAATAGGATTGATAACTATAGTAACCTAAACATATCCCCATTTGTGACCTCAGTGTCCTGCATGTTACTGATTTGGAGTTTACTACGCAAACCTGAGTGGAACAATCTGAATGTTATTAAGCAGCAGATTGCATCTTTAAAGATCCCCTTAAGCCATGTATGAAGACATATACAAATAGTCTACTTGGACTTGGATCAATAATGTGTGTCTGATACATTGCTGGATGTTGAAGAGCTGATGCTAAACTGCATTGCTGGCTTTAATTTGTATGGAGAAGTTGCTAAAGGAGTACGAAAAGTAGGAAAAGTGGGTCAAATTAGTATGAATTAAAAGAAGAAAGATGTGGAACATTGTAAGGTTTGAATGGAGTTCCTGGTTTATGAGCAGATCAAATTTGAAAAGAGTATAAATAGCTGGAAAAGTGAGAAAGGGATGAAGAATGCAAAATATAGCGTAAGATGTGCACTTAACTGTGTTGCTTAATACCACCTGGTAGCTAAACTGCATTGTTGGTTTAACTTCGTGAAAAAGCAGCCGAAGGAGTATGAATAATGACTGGGAGCTAAACTGCCTAGAAGTTAAATGTGCTAGGCATTTTCCTATGCGACGGGTGCTGAGGTCACAAATGAGGCTAACCCAAAGTAAGCAACCTTATATGAGCAACAACAGCTACAGTAACTATTCATGGCAACATTACCACATTTAGATTTAAATCCATGACAAAATAGAGGTAATGCAGTTGCTAATAATATGTCAAAGCAATGCATTAGTGCTAACTGTACTTTACTATGATTCTGTTGTTAGCAAAAATATCTCTTGAACCTCAATTTTCCAATTGGAGGTCCACTTTTTATCTCACATGTTATGTATCTGGTTCATTGAATGTGTATAATATTTATACAGTCCAATATTCAAACCCTCAAAACTAAATGTTTTTAAAGGCAATGTCTTGTTCATCATTCCAGCATATATTTGTGGAAATGTTAAAATCATTAACAGAATTTAGAGGGTTATTAACGGTGATGTTTCTATAATGGTTAATGTGTATAAAACTATATATGTGATGTGCATCTGTTCCAACACAGTCATTATTTTGTGCAATTTTTTGTGTGTCCACGTCGATTCTAAATGACAGCTGATATGTCAGAGGTATTGCATAAAAATAAGGCAAATCTGCTTCCATTGTATGATTGTGTCCATGCTAATGACTGAGCAGTGAAGCTACAGTTGAAAGAAGACAAGGTTGAAATGTACGTTTGTGAAACCAATTGATTCTCTTGGCCTCTTGACCAAACAGAAAGCACTTTTTCATTAGCAGCTGGGCGGAGTGTCGCTACATATAGCTTTGACTTTCTAAATCTCTCAATAACAAAAGCCTCAGATAATGCTGGGGAGTCCTGATTGACTTCATGCCCACACCAAAACATCATGTCCTTAAAGAAAGATTGTATCTACAATATCACCAAAAAAACAACAACATATAATTTCTCTCCCCTCTAGCTGCATCTATCCATCCTAACCCAAACCCAGTTTTGGTTTCATTTGTCCAGGTTTTGAGACTTTTACCACCACATGAGTAACCTTGTGAGATCACAAAATTATGTGAGAAGCCATCTTGCCAGACATCAGTGTATGCTTTTCTTGCCAAACTACAGTGGTATCGGACCAGTCAGTGTCCTTTGACTGGTCCGATACTAATGGCAGCTACGTGGGTGGGAGCTAGGTATGACGCAGTGAGAAGCGATTGTGTGTTAAACAACAATGGAGGCTGCTAAAGAAGTGAGTGTAGATGCTGCTAGCATCAGTTATATCAGAACTGGAGAGTATTTCTTCATTGAAAGAAGAGCAAAGAATGGCACAGAAGATGTTTTTGTTGTTTGATGTTTTCTCCCGACTGCCTTCACTGAAAGTTTGATTACGTTACATGGTCAGGTTACTATACCAGCACAATGGAGGTAAACAGAATTTGGTGTGTGGAGCATCAACATCAGCAACATGTTTTTGTAGTTACTGAGGACAGTCCACAGAACAGTGTCATTACTATGGCAGCCAGCACTGTAAATGATAACAGTTTATAATGATGTAGATTATCTGATACAGTTTTTGTATGTGTTTTTTCCAACCCTATCACCAGATAAACCATTGATAACGTCTTTTAAAAATCTTGCTCTCCACAATCTCTGTGCAAGGCAATTTAAGGTATTGGGACAGATCATGGTCACATTAAATAAAAGCAAGTAATTGTTGTAATAACAAGTCTGTGACAAACTCCTGTATCCTGTATGAATATCAGACGTGCTATATACCTCCCCACCCTTACTTCTAGCCTCTCAATAAACAGGGTACACTACTTCCTGCACTGGCACTGTATGTAAAATGTGAGCTGTAGTTCTGTCCAATATGGACATAAGTCTTATTCCAATTCCTGGATGTTTCTGCAACTATTGGGAATTTTAAGTCGTAGCAGTGAATGCTTGATGCTTCATAAATATATACACAGTGTTATTACACATCTCAACATAAAACAATTAGTAAATAATGTGATCTAATCTAATCTATCTATTTTTTTGTTCCAATACTGTAGTCTCAATGTTGACATATGTAAAATGAAATGAAACAATTAAAATGTGACATTATTTAAAATGACCGTTTCATATAAATATTACTTAAAATATTTTTTGATTTACTTATCATTTATATGATTTTTTAATCTAAAAGTGCCATCACTTCTGAGTCCTCACTGTGACATAATGAAAAAATAAACAAACTGAATAAAATCTAGTTTCTACGGAAACAGAAGTTAGCAAGTGAGCACATGGATGACAGGCCACTCCCACAATGTGACCCTCAATGTTAAGATCGTCCTTTCTTCTGAAGTATTTATTGTTTGTCGTTAATTAGAAAGAGTGTTGGATATATATTTTATTATTACTGTATTGAATTCATGAGTCAAAGCTAATGTAGCAGACCTTGCTAGCTGCCATTTCTCTGGAATATTAGCAAAAATTGAATTTCTGTAACATGTCTTTAGGTATAAAGCCATTGTGTTGCAGCATATATATTATATTATATAATTCAAGGTGAATTATATGTAATAATAATAATTTAAAAAAAACACAAAGGATACTGGGCTGAATTTTTCACCTCCACAGTTTTAGGTGGTGGCAGAAGTTTCAAAAACTGGTGGTTTAACAGTGAGCCTTCGGGCATGTCAAGTCTTTACTATTTCCAAAGAAACTTTCTACCAACACATTTAACTGCATTTGAAGTGATAGTCCTTTAAGGTTTGAAGGAGGAAGGACTACGTATACACTAGTTTTATAAATCTAGCATGCTTTGGCCTAATGAATTGAATTTTTCTGGGAAGGTTAGAATCTTAGCTCTTATCCAGCACTGTTCTGCTTCACATTCATACAGAATAGATTTACATCTGGGAGATGCCCAAGCACCACTATAGTTTACTATTGTCCCTTGGTAAGCAGCTTTGCTGGTACAGCTAAGTGCCTTGCTAGAAGGCACTAGAAGCAGTTAAAGAAGAGGCATGTGGCCCCTAAATTGGATTCCTACCATCTTAAACATTTCAGTCAAGGATGAAGCCAGTAAACGACTCTCCCTTAAAGCTAGAAACCACATAGCTGAATGTGGAAACATGAAGATAAATTCTGCAGACTCTTTGACTGTACACTTTGAATTCACTTAAATGAGTGTGCTTCAGTATCTAAAGCTTTATGGCATGAATGCATTTCCGGAAGAATGGGTGCGGTTAGCTTCCATACCAACACTTTTATCTTAAAAGACCAACTGAGCACTGAAGATGTTCCTTTGATTGTTGCAATATACCATTTTCCAGCAGCATATGTGAGCCTCATTGCTGTTATCATTAAAGAGCAACTCACTACACTGCATCTCTTCACATTTGCATGAAAACTGGAATGCTACCAACTATTGTTATTGTATGAGGGTAAACTGAGTCAAAGACCTCGCTTAGCGCCGTCATGTTTTTAGCTTTAAGAGAGTTCGTGTTTGCAGATTTAGGCCAAGAACCTACAGGACTAACATGTGTTTTGTGTTTCAGGGGGTGACTTCCACTTTAATCTAAACATAGAGTAAAGTGGAGCCATGCTAGAGGAAGTCAGAACATGTGGCTGTAGACATTTATTTTCACCATAAACTGTTGAACTGGTTCTGAACTGGGTGTTTCAGAGCTTACAGTAATATTTGCGTTATTACTAAATGTGGTTCAGGAGGGCTGCATGCTGAGTTTTAATGGAAGCAGAACATCCAAGTCACACCTCACAAATCTGTGCACAAAAATTATTTATGTTTGAGGAAAACATTTAGAGTCTAAAGGGAATGACTACCAAGGTGTGGCACAGTCACTCAGAAAAGATTTCCCACATCCCATTCTTTTGGCTAAATGACCAAAATAGCAGCAACATTTGGCAGTTCTAAATAATGTTACAATAATTTCATATACTATTGAGGAGTTATATTGTTCGACATTGGATGAGAACAAATGTATTGACATAGTTTATATGTATATTCTTCATCTTGCTATTGGTTCAAAGGTAGTAGAATGTGGTAAACAGAATGTTTGCCATTATTCTGGCAGTTGCTTTTAATGTGTCGATCGGTGGCACACATTATAAAAACTAATGTTTTCTTCTTATATTAAATGTTTGCAGTTTTTTCTAAGCCAAGTGGGGTAGGGGTCCAGTGAACATGTCACTTAAAGGACCAGTGTGTAGGATTTAGTGGCCCCTTAGTGACAAGCGATGAAGTGGCAGATTGCAACCAAATGCATAACCGCTTGCCTTCTGAGCACGTAGGAGAAACTACGGTGGCGGTATCTATGGAAGAGGACACGCTTGCTCTGTAGATAACAACAGCTCATTCTAAGGTAACAAAAACACAGTAGTTCTTATTTTCAGGTGATTATACACTAATGAAAACCTGCCTATGAATATTATATTCCATTTCTGCCAATAGATTCTTCCAAATGTTACTCAATGGACCTTTAAGATATGGAGGCTCTTTTTTAAAAAGTAAAATGTACCCACCCCATTATTTGTGCTTTCTGCATTTTTTGCATCCAATCTACAACTAAAAAGTTTAGTTTCAGTCCAACAGTCATAAACAAGGCAACCTAACTACACTTTTTAGAAGTTTACTAAAGGCACAGGTACTTGACTACACACAGGAAATACTTCATGTATGTGATAATGCATTTTTGCAGGAACTTCCCTCATCCTTGAAAGAGTGCTTGCTTTGTGGGTCTTTGATATAATAGTTTTTTTCATAAACTTTGAAAATTAAGGCACAATGACATTAACAAGGGAAGAGTAAAGCAGCTCATGACACACTGGCTATTTTCACACTGCAACATCGGCGCTCAATTCTGAATTATTGCTCAGATCTCATCTGACACAGTACTGAAGTGACCCACACGATGAATACTGATCTACAGTGACATAAAAGTCACATGAATTCTATAATGCCTGTTCACACTGAGGTCACATTGCAAAAAAAAAATTAGACTGATTTGGACCACATATGAAAGTGGCCCAAATCAGAATAGAAAAGATCAGATTCCATGTGATTTGTCTGATCTGAATAACTTGTGCCTCAGTGTGAACCTAGCCATTGAGCCTGTAGTACTCTCTCTCTGGGTGGATGCTTCACTAGGTAGGGCTCATAAACAGTGACTGCTTGTGTGTTTGTGAGTCATGGTTAAAAGCATGATTTCTCAGTTTTCTGGTGTCCAGGACTAGTTAATCCAGATACATGGTTGATCTTAACTCTCCAACTGGGTGTGGCGGGGAGGGTGTTGACTTAACCTGATGGGATTTTGTCTTTTTTTGTTTGGTTGATTTTGGTTTGGGGTTGGAAGATAACTAAGAAATTCCATAAGACACTGGTGAACACGACTGTTGGAGAATGAAGATAACTGCTCAGTAGTTGCTATCCAGTACCTTGTCGTTAACAATGTAAATAAACGTCTGCTTTATGGGTTGATCAAAAGGACCAGACTGATGTTTTTGCATGTTTTAGACTATTTACTGCTGATGAAATATTAACTTTATGCAAAAAATAACGTTGATTTTTGAGATGTTTTGAGTGAGTCTTCCCACCTTCCAGGAAGTCTGCCTAGAGCACTGCAAAATATCCATCCAAAGTCTGGTATGGTTTGTGAAATGCTCAGCAGTCACGTATGTAAATGGAAGAAAACATTCCAAAACTACAGATTGGTCCCTACCACAAATAAGAAAGACATAAAACAAAGGTCAACTGTAATGACAGACGACATCACAGGCTTCAAAGTGCTGCACAAGAAAAAATCTGCATACTAAGGTCAGCCTATTCTAAAGCATGGGGGGGTTAGGTAATGGAAAGTCACTGCAATCAAATTAATATCATCATTCATGTATGTGAAAATTCTCAAACTCCCAAAAACAGCTCTCACTGTTATGGTTAAGCATTGTCCACATTAAAACAGTTTTAGCTCCATTAATATGTGTGTGGCGGGGTTTTGCACTGATGTTAGAACTGTGAACCTTTTTGAGTACAGCCCATGGCTGAATTCTACTGCTGTATATTGTAACCTGCAGATCTTTGAGAAGTATTTTCTCCTGCCATCCAGAACTGATCATGATAGGTTGTACAACTTAAACCGAGAATCTGGAAATTGTATTTGCACAAACATCCAGCACAAGAGGATGATTGGTCAGCTATTACGTGAACAGATTTGATGTGTGTCTTAGTACTGATCATCATGTGTCTGCAAAATGTGTTAGTGTCTGCTCATGTTGTCATATTAAATGGACAGAGGGACTAATATCTTCAAACTGGCATCTTGTTTCATGGTGGGCTGGTGTGTCAGTATGTGTGAGTGTATGTGTCTCATGCGCAGTACATACTGGATCACTGAAAAGCTTGGTGGAAGCGGGGCAGTGTGGTGGGTGTGCTCAGGTTGGATATGAAGGAGGAGGGGAGCCCTTGAAGTGGATTCTCTGTAGCCTCTGGGCCTTCGGGGGGCTGGGGGGGCAGCTGGACGAGAGGTGTGGGCTCTTCGTTGGGTGGATAGGCGACGCCTGGCCCCCCGCTGCCCCCGGCCTGGTTGTACGGAGGCCCATTAAGTGGCAGGAAGTTGAAAAGCTGTGAGAAGTCCATCAGAGAAGAGGATGAAGCCAGAGAGTCCCCTGCGGAGGCTGCCGCCACCGGCGTGGACATTTTGGACAGGGACACCTCCTGGCTCGTCTCCTCCAGCACGCCCACTTGAGTCTCCAACTCAAGTTTGGAAGAGGGGAGTTGGGGTTCTTGGGCTGCAGAGGATGAGGAGGGCATGCTGCTCTGCAGCTCCATCAGGTAGGTCTCCAGTTCTCCCTTTAGATTCTGCTCCCGCTCCTGGGAGGAGACGGTGTATGAGGTAAAGTTGGAGGCCAGCGGGTACTTTAAAGAAAAGGCATGTGTGGGGTTAGGGAAGGGCTCTGTTTCCAGGACGGGGCCTGTGTACATGTTGAGCTGGTGCAACCTCGGCGTCAGCATTCCTGGGAGCTCGCCCTTGATGCCCCCAGACGCCAAGTCATAGGCAACTGGTTCCAGCAAATCAGCTGGCTCAGTTTTTACCCTCAGAAGCTCCCGGGCATGGCTCTTTTTCACGTGGCGTGTCAGGTGGTCCTTCCTACCAAAGCGCTGGGCACAGTACTGACAAAGGAAGTCCTTGCGTCCGGTGTGCACCACCATGTGGCGTCGCACGTCTTTACGGGTGTAAAACCGCCGCTCGCAATGCTCACAGCGATGCTTTTTCTCTTTGGTCCCACCAGAGGACTTGCCAGCGTGCGTTTTCAGGTGTTCCAGAAGAACCCCAGTGCTGGGAAACGGCTGCAGGCATACTTGGCAGGTGAGGTCTCCACTGTTGGCGGCGTGGAGGGCGAGGTGGCGTTTGAAGCCCAGCTTGGTGTTGTAACTCTTGCCGCACTCCTGACAGGTGAACGCCTCCTTGTATGGGTCGTGAGTGTGTAGGTGATTCTTTAAGTGATCCTTGCGGTGGAACATTTTCTCACAGTATGAACACTTGTGGTTTTTTTCTGGCGAGTGAGTTGCCATATGCCTTGGAACACAGACACATTCTATGAGCACTCAGAATATTTTGTCATGAATTCAAGAATCATGTTTTTAAATAGGCATGCTTTACATTACACATAAACACAAGAACTGAAAACTAGAATTCATCAACACATCACTGTGACTACTAGTGATCATTGTGTAACCAAAGGTGTAAAGAGAAAAGCAACATGCTGCAGCCTGCTATATACTGCTGCTTGTCTGTACCGTAGCAGCTTGTATTTGGAGACGAAAGCCTTGGTGCAGTCAGGGTGGGAGCAGCTGTAGGGTCTCTCTCCTGTGTGAGAGTACGAGTGCACCTTCAACTTCTCCAGGCTGTTGAAAGCTTTCTGACAGTCCTGGCAGAGGAAGTTCTTCTTCGGCTTCCCCTCAGCTCTCCTGCGCCTCCCCATGGGCGGTGCGAGCTTGGCTTTCTCCAGGACGTGGTCACGGTGGCCCTGGGTTCCCGTGGCCATGGCACTCTAAGGGAGACCAGCTACATGGACAAGGGCACAGCGGCCAGCTAGTACTGATGCAATTATTTTATCCAGTTTTATGTGCTCAACACTGCCCGGACTCAGGGGCCGCGCCGAGAAGCAACCAGCGCGCCAGGAGGACGAGAGAGAAGGAGCAGAGAGAGCAGAGAGACGAGAGACGAGACGAGAGAGAGAGATTGATTGATTATCTGAATGGTTCAGTTTCAGGTTGCTGGCAGTGCAAAAGACTACATCAATATAAATCACAAACACTGTTCTGAGGCCTGTGTAACGGCTTTTACCTGTCCTAACTTAGTCTAACACTGGTGGTCCTGGGTAATTGGTATCATGAAGCTGGTTATCAAGGGGCTCAGTTAACTCTGGCTTTTACAATACAGCTCAGAGTGCGTTCATGTGACAGAGGAGGGCTTCTTAATTACAAGCAACATAATCAGAACCATGAGTGCAGGTCTTAGTGTGACATGAACTCAAATAATGATACCTGCTGGGGAAATAATAAATTCCAAAGCTGTAAGACACAAATAATAAATATATAATATCTATTGATTTAAAGAAGTTGGCTATAAATAAGAGTGGTATTATTACACCATGCACAATACATGGATTGTACCAGATTGAGCTAAAAGGTCTTTTTCACCTGTAGACCCTGGGTGAGTAGTAAATCAAACCTTACACTCTGTGAAACACAAACAGAAAAACAATACTT